TTGATGAACTCGGTGGTCTAGCGGTATAGACACATCGTTTTACATCCGATTGTCATGGGTTCGAGTCCTCGCACAGCACAAACATTAATATTCATGAGTATGAGTATTTATATTGGTCTGGGTGTGAAATATGTGTAATATGTATGTATTTACAAAAAAAACTATGTATTTGTATTATTTATCTAGTACCCATAACACAAGCTTTAGTTAGCTTAACTTGGGTCTAGACGGCGCTGTGAGAATTGTCCTGATATTATTATTATTATATATATCAATACATACACACTAACAAATAACTGGCTGTATTAATAGAACTTTATTCTCTATAATATACAATTTACCATGATTACTTGAACTTATTAGCGACTAGGCGGTAAGCAGATGGGCTAACTGACCTAACTTCATATTCATCCTATCATCCTCCATAAAATATATTTCTTTCTTTCTCCACTAGTGCCCCGCCAGCATATACCGTTAGAGTAGGCTGGTGCACAATACCAATATTAAAAAAAGGGTTTGTTAGTCCATATTACCACAGATAACATAATATTACATACAGATACCCCATCCCATACAAGAAAATGGTTCCTTCCTAACTCGGGCTATTCTTCGGGCTATTTTATTTCGCCACCGTAGACGCTAGATGTCGCTAGATCTGAAGCAGTTCGGATTACTAGTGGGTGCTTAGTAACAAAGCATGAAAATAGATGGCAGTCAATTCAGTCTACATGACATCTGTTTTGCAAAGATATGTATATAATAGATATTTAGGTAACTGTATCGTGTACCTCATTAGGGACGATTCAAGATTCAATGTAAATGTGCAGGTATAATATCGTTAGCCGACACTCTGCAGATATGGCTTATGTGCCAATGTATATACCTATTATGTTATGGTTTATTTTACATTCCATGCCTATTTTTTTGATATGTTGTAACGCGTCTGCGCTATACGTATAGCCCGATTTTGATACTTTTATACTCGTACGTATCAAAATCGGGCTATATGATTTTTTATTTCAATCGTTATGTGTAAGAGACTGGTTTTAGCTACAATTAATTTACTGGTATATACCTCATGTATTCTACGATGTACCCCTCTTTTCCCTAATGAGAATTCCGCTATATCTTATATATAAATTTTGTATCACAGTGTTAGTTGCCATATTTCTCCCACATTTTGATGAAATTTGATATGTATACTTGCCAGGTCTGAGGTAGGGTTGTTATCTATTTTTTATACCCCTAAGTCATAGGGGTGGCCTACCCCGAAAAAATATTTTTTTGTATTATGGACAATTTTTTATTTATTTATCATGTTACATTGAAAATACATACACGCCTAAATTTTCACCCGTCTTTCACCAACCCCTATTTTTAATAGCGATATTCTTACAAATATTATAAATGCTAAAGTAACTCAGTCTGTCTGTTTGTCTCGCTTTCACGCCAAAACTACTGAACTGATTTAATTGAAATTTGGTAGACAGATAATGTAGACCATGAGAAAGGCTACTTTTTAATGCGAAAAAGTATTGAAAGGGGAAATGAAAGGCTATATGAGGATATCGTAATTTTTAAAGTCAGATCTTGTAAGATTAAGTGAACAGGGTTGGTCTAGGTTTTTCATTATTAGAAATGTGTAACGGGGTAACACGTTATTTAGTGCGAAATTGTGTATATTACAATAAAATTTAACGAGAAAATATTATAATGATGTCACTGGGACACTCATTGCCTTACTACTATATCGTCCGTTAGACGCGAACTTTCTGGAAACACGAGAGGCGCGCTCCTATTGGTCAGTAGATGAGGTAGACGAGTCTTACGGCGCCGCAGCGTAAGTACTTACTATACATACATAGTATACATATGGGTGTTACAAATGTTTTTATTACGAGTAATATTACTCTGTTATCTAAGCAAGTAATGTGTGCTTATTTTGAACTTGATAACATTCTGAATTACTCGTATATCTTTCAATATCTTTAGCGGTATAAACCAGGTTATGTACTACTACTAGTATTATTAGTGAGGGATAAAGTTGATGAACAAAAATAAAACAATATTCGTATTAAAAATATATTCATCTAATATTTTTGGCATTATTTTTAAGTTTCTTCCAAATACAAGGGGTCTGACATGGGGTGTTATGTACCTACATTAAAAGATACTTTTTGAAATGTATGAAATGTATGTACCTACATTAAAAGATAATTTTTGAAATGTATGAAAGAAATGTATGTACCTACATAAAAAGTTCATTTTTGCAATGTATGAAATTTTTTAAATGTATGAAATGTATGAAAGTAATGTATGTACCTACATTAAAATATAATTTTTTAAATGTATGAGATGTATGAAAGAAATGTATGTACCTACATAAAAAGTTCATTTTTGAAATGTATGAAATGTATGTACCTACATTAAAAGATAATTTTTGACATGTATGAAATGTATGTACCTACATTAAAATATAATTTTTGAAATGTATGAGATGTATGAAAGAAATATATGTACCTACAAGTTCATTTTTGAAATGTATGAAATGTATGAAAGAAATGTATGTATGTACCTACATTAGAAGATAATTTTTGACATGTATGAAATGTATGTACCTACATTAAAATATAATTTTTTAAATGTATGAGATGTATGAAAGAAATGTATGTACCTACATAAAAAGTTCATTTTTGAAATGTATGAAATGTATGAAAGAAATGTATGTACCTACATTAAAAGATAATTTTTGACATGCATGAAATGTGTGTACCTACATTAAAAGATAATTTTTGACATGTATGAAATGTGTGTACCTACATTAAAATATAATTTTTGAAATGTATGCACCGTACGGAGTCATACGCAAGTTAAAAAACAAACTGCTATGATATATTAATGAGAAAGGAAAATCAACTTTATGGTATTCGAGTTAGGGTCGATTTCTCTCTTTTTTTTAAATACTATTTTAATCTTACCAGTTGCCAGTATTCGAAGACAGCTACGATTCGTACTCGATATTTTAAATTATTATGTAATCGATTATTCAGTACAAATGTAAATAACCAACGACACTAATAATGTACTACTATATTCCGTTCTTTGAAACGGAACACTGCTATAATACATAATAATAAAAATTTACTGTTCACAACGACTCATTAAAAGCATCATCGAATAATGCGCTGTAATAAAATCCTGTTATTGATTATTCAAAAAAATCGATAATACATGTATTTATTTTTAATATGACAACACTTCATACATAAGTATTATTGGAAATAGTATTACTTGCTTGTTCGGCTATTTTTAATTTACTTAAAAAATTTTTATATGTTTAATTTACAATAATAATATATTAAGTGCTTATTATTGGAAAATATAAAAAAGACATTTAATTAGGCCGATACAAATGACGACAATGCCATCTATGAAAGCATTTTGAAAACATTGAGCCCCATATTAGCACTGATTAAAGTGTAATTAAGTACTGGAAAATAACAAAATGAGTAAATATATGAAAATTACTTTTCTAAACGCATTATTTCCTTTTAACATGTATATATAACTTTTTAAAAATTGATTAAACATTTTTGAAAACACAGTTTTGTTTTTTAAAACGTTTGCAAAACTATGAAGAATTCCATCGATACCAATCACGCCATCTATATGCAACTTTTAGCAATAATAATGGCTACTTCCTCATTGAGTGCCACTGATATTACTAACAATCTCTTCCCTCCAATATGTATTATTATTGCTGTCACTCAAAATTATTGTCTCTCCACAGGTAGGCGAAGGGGAACTGGCTAGAAATGTATTTGAATGGGGTCAACGGGCGATGGAAGAGGTACCTAAAATGTTTCTCCTGAATAAAATGGCAGAGGTAAATATGTAGCATAATTTAGATATAATTCATTTATTTGAAAGAGCAACATGCATGTTTGTAATTCATTCTCCTTTGATGAGTCTGCGTCTGCGTTCCAAATGAGTAGTACAATTAAAAATATATAGCTATTCAAAAGTGCTTTTGTTATTTGAATTAAGAATTTGAAATATGAATTTTCATGTTTTGTTAAATATTAGTTTCAATATTAATTTTCTCTGTCATTTAGATTCATTAAGATTGTCGACATTCAAAAGACGCTGCATTGCGGTTGGCTGAAATTAATGAGGCAGAAATACCTTTTAATTAAATTGAAATATTTATTTTACAGGCTTTCGGAAAAGATCCTAATCATTGGCATGAACAATATAAAGAAGCCACAGAAGAAACTAATTCATAACTACATTGTCCCTAGTTGTATTGAAGTTTTCTATTATTATACGTAAATTTGCCAGAATTCTGTATTTATCTTGTCAGCTTGTTACGGATTTGCAATCGCGGTACGCGAAAACTAGGTATGTGTTACATATAATAAAAATATATCAACTATGTACATGACAATACCATGGATACCACATTATTATATGTTAGTTCACTTTTTCTTTTCGGACTACTCTAATGCTGATTACCGCAGATGGCCTTTACAGCTGTACCGAATGTTAGGCCGCGAGTGCAGATGGCAGTCCACACCCTCGGAAGGACTTATGGAGCGGCTGAAGGCCAACTCCCGCCTGACGGATACGACTTTAGTCTGGAGGCTAGGGGTTCGAAGCTCTGCTCAGATTGTAATTTCAATCCCCCTTTGAATTATACGGAGGATCGATCGGATCAGACCCTTCACGGAATGGGACGCGTTTATATATATATAGTCTAGCATACACACACATTTATTCTTACCTATCATACATACACATCAGATCCCTACAAGTGTTGGAGATTTTACACAGCCAACTGCTTTGTAATAGATGAGACGGGTTGGGTACTTGCAGACGACTTTTAACAAAGTATACCAAAGTATTATTAATTTTGTTTATAAAAAGAAACTATTGAAAGTAATAGAATTTATTTACAGTTATAACAATCAATAGAGAAAGAAGTTTAATGGAAAGAATTATCAAGACTCTACCTCATTAAAATTTGAATATAATGATTGTGTTGTAATACAATTTCGGAAGAGTTCATGTGTTATTGCATATTCCTTCGAAAATGGCACATCATGTAATAAGTCTAACAATTCAAATATTTCCGTGTAGACGCCGGCGACTTTCGTAATATCTGTAGAGTTATGATAAAGCTCATTTGTGAGTTTAATTTTAAATTTCTTTTTTTGTTCATCAGATAGAGGGTTGGCGTTTCTTATTGCTTCCAAGTCTTTAGGTTCTGCTTCACACAATACACAACTGCACACAGTTCCATTAATGTTATACATCATTTCTTGTCTATTCTCTTTTGTTAGTGGATGCTGTAACCAATGATTTCTGAAAAATATAATTTATACTAACTTTATATACATGAAAGATGTAATAAAAAACAAGAACATCTTTATAAAACATAAGAAAAACATACGAGTCCTGTATTTTTCCGTCTAATATATGTCTGCCAAACGTGGGATTGGACAACAAAAACTGAGTAAAATAAAAATATGCCAAAATACCATGCAAAGAAGCTTCTTAAATATCCAACTCAGTGACAACGTCAAACTTACCAATTTATGAGAAAAAACCAAATTGACAGATGCAACCAGAACAGTCGAGAAACTGAAATGGAAGTGGACTGGACATGCAATAAGAAAGAGAATTGGACCCAGCATGTTTTAGATTGATAATTATCCAAGAAAGGAAATATGAAAATGCGGGCAACAGAACAAGAAGCGAGAGGTTGATATAAGGACAGTGGCTGGACCAACATGAAGAAAAGCGTTGGACAGAGGTTTATAGAGTTTTGAAGAAGGACAAGCAGATGAAATCGAGACAGTGAAATAGAAATAAATGTCTCTCTATGAATTATATAAATATGTCTATCATAATAAAGACTATAAGTAAATAATCTTTATTACAGTCTAAACACAATACTAATGATGAAAAACAACGATAATAACTCGTGCAACTCTTGTTTAATTCAATATATCATCAAATATTGTTGATTCAAATTCAAAATGGTGTAATATTTTTTTAATATATTTCGAATAGATACAATATGTAAGTGATAAAGCTCTGCATATTAAATGCAAATTGTTTCTGTAAATTGAATAAGTGACAGACATACTATATAATATAGACAGAAAAAGAGGGACTGAGGGAGGGAGATTGGAGAGAAATAAAATAAGAGAAGAACAAGGGTATAGCGAGAAAAGATAGCGCCATCTACTAGTTATGTATTATATATAGAAAATAAGACGTATTATTTAAAGAAGAAAATATTTATCTGGTTATTTCTTCATTACCGAAATCACAAAGTACAATGATAACGTGTAAAATATGTTTGCTATTTCTGAATTGTTCAGGCCTATTTTTATAATTATCATGTATGTAAATACCATTAAAATATTATTTACCTTAGAAAATTGAAAATATAGTGTGAGTGTGTTGGTCAGAACTTATATAAAATAAAATATTATTTTAGCTTTTCTAAACTGAATACAAATCTTTTTTTTGTACAGAAATAATAGTAAACTTTACGTTATAGTAAACAAATACAACAACCAATTAGATTTACTTACATGGGGCTGACAGACAATTCAGTTCCTGCTCTTATAGTTTGTGTCGCTACCAAAGCCGTAGTATTATTATTGATTACTGTGCTGTATGTATTTGGTATACAGGACCGTTTTAATTTTCCAATGAATGGAAAGAGTCCAAGTCTTGGCGTCACCCACCGTGTAATTATCTGTGGCTTCGTTTTTAGACAATTATTTGTAGCTAAAAGCATTGGGTGTGCAAATATTGTTAGGTGCATCAGTATTCTTGCAAAAGCACGAATTGCATACCTTTTGTCCTGAATTCTTACTGGGAAAAAACATCCAGAAGAGTCAATTATGGAAATGTAATGAGACCAAATTATTGTTGTATTAAAAAACATACCATGCATAAAGTGCACAGCATGGTTGAATGTTAGAAGGGAAGTACAGTTTCTTGAATCATATATATCTTTTATTTGGTTTATTTTTTGCTTATTATTAACATATTTCTTTGACAGTTCGATCATTTCATCCCACGATTTGCACATGTTTCTCATTTTTATTGCAGCTTTGAGTACCATTTGAGTAATTGGCCAGTTCACTAACTCTAAGATCTGACATTCAATATTATGATATTCTTTCATGCAATTGTCTTTACACTGTTTGCTGCAGAATAGTGCTTTGCAACAGCCTTCACAAGGGAATAAATTGAAAGAAAGTTTACAGCAGTGGTAGCAAGATATCCAAGTTGCATCTGAATTTTGAATTAGGTCTACAAAGCCGGCAAATACTTTCTCTAAAGCCAACACAGTCCCAACTTTAATGTCTGTCTTGGCCACTATTTTAGGACCGTTGGTATTCATAATAATATCTATTTCTGCGCTCGCGCATGGTATATCCGGATGGCGTTTAGGTATTTTAAAAAAAATTTCACCACTATACCTGGAATATTTAAAAATTATTACATTTTCACATTTTCTTAATTTAATAATGGTTATCTGTTAAAATTTAATCAACAAGTCTACCAATTGACAAAAACATCATGTTATGTCACAAGCAAGTAGCATAAACAAAGTTATTTAGGTGGATTGATACTTCAAAGCCTCAAAACAGGGGGCTAATGGAGAAAAGCATCAAAAACAGAGAAATGGGTAATGTTGAATAATAGTATACATAATTAGTTTTATCTTACTAATATTATAAACGCGAAAGTTTGTCAGTATGAAATTATGAATGGATAGATAGATGGATGGATACAGTAAAGTCCATTTAATATAGATCAATATGGCCCTTGACAGCATGTAATTTAAATTAATATTTCCAAAGATATTACAGATCTGAAATGCAGGGACATAGCGGTGTGGCGCTAAACAAAACATGTTTGTACTGTCTAATGACAATAATGCTTTTACAGCGTTGTTTATAAGGACATTCTGTAGGTAGGTACGTATATTTAGTACCAGCATGCACCCGTGCGAAGCCGAGGCGTGTCGCTAGTTTTCTATATATGTTAGTCCTTAAGATATATATATAATATGGGCCAATATTGTTACATAATAATATTAAGTTGCCTGAAATAAATAAGACTGGGGACCTTTTATAAGTACTTACTTTATTTGTGTACTTTCTGTCCACAGAGAGTTTTCAGCTTGTTCTCTGCGTTTATATAATTTTTCCAATATGTCATCAGGACATCCCATAGTTATACAAGTATTGATGTCTTTGAGACAAGCTCTGTAGCACTGCAATGTGAATAGTACTGCGGACCGATTACTATATGCAAGTTTCATTGCAATGGACATATTTGGTGCATATGCAAGAGCTGTATTGTAACACTTTAATGCCACCTCATACATTTTGTTTTTATAAGCACTATTACCTTCATTTCTGTATTCATTGGAAGTAGAATCATTCTTAATCTCTCTCTTAAAAGATGGAACAACAAAATGTGGATGGGTTATCAGTGTCATGATTGGATCTGATATGTCAGAGCTTCTCATGGCTTCATATATTTCCTTTACCAAAATACTATTGTC